CAACTGAGAGAAATTTCTTTCTGCTTGCTTTCAGAGTCCTTCATTTTACCTACCTCGGAAGGATGGAAGGCTGAGTCAACCCTGAGCCGGTGAGATTTGAACCGCCGAGCTGCAGAACTAGCAGTCAGCTGAAGTGGCTGCAGTACTGCACCCTAACCACTGCGCCACCTTGGCTCTTTGAGATCTTCAATTCTTTGTCTACTATTCTACTATCCTCTGGTATTGCCACTTCAATTGTCACCCTTTCTTTGTTTTAACAACAATTAACTCTGGTGCGCCAGGACTTGATCCGTTTATATTCCGAAATCTCGCAATATTTTAACTGGTACATTTTCAACCACCCTTTTCTCTTTGTCCATCAATTTTTCATTCTGGTGCATAATTTTTATGGATCTTCCAAGTGAATCGTTTTGGCCATTGTGTTTGGGTCATTCTTTATAATCACTTTGTGATTTTCTTCCATGAGCTGGAGTATATGATGGACTCTTTCTTCTGCTTCTTTGCATAGTCTGCACTTGGAACCATTTGGTGATTTCTATTTTTCAGTTTTGGCCTTGGTTGCATGAGTTCAAAACACTTGCTCTCTTGGGTAGTCAAAATAAACCTTCGGTTTCTATTTTTTAAATGTTTCCCTTGTAAGCCATTGTTATTACTTAGATGTAATATAACCACCCAATGCAGTGAACTTTGGGCACAGAATAGAAAACAGTTTTCCCTTGTGAACAAACCTGCTTTGGCTGCAACAGGACTGAGCTCCTGTTAGATTTCCTTCCTTTTTTTTATGCTGACGGCCTGTGCCCTCCCCCTCTTCAGACGTTTAAGACAAATCCCCAAACACCAGCACTAAAAAACTTTTCTAAGATGCATATTTGTTGTGGTGAAGAAGAAAAGGCACCCAGGCAGGAAGAAGAAAGTTGTGAAGGCACTCTCAACAGCTTGTGAGAGCTCTCCTTTTATTGTCATAAAAACAGTTTACGTGGCAGAAACTAATACATTGATCAAAGTATCCTTGTACTGATTGGATTTAGCTAGGCAAAGTCCAGCTGTGTTTGAGAAAGTTAATAGACAACTAGATGTTGTTGCGAGCGATGGAATGTGCCTACGTGCCAGATGTTGCCTCACATTTGTTAAGGAAGGATCAGGTTATTGATTATTGTGCCGAGTTGCATTCCTCAGGCTTCACACTTATTAAGGAAGGATCATTGTGCTGATATTTGCATTCTCAACGTGGTTTGCCAGCCATTGAGAAAGGCAGACATCCTCACATATATTCCAGTTTTTGGGCGGGGCACATCTTCTCCTATCTCTCCAGCCCCAAGTTCAAAGGCAGAATTTTGCATTCTTGTGCCTCTAGGTAAACATTGGAGCTGGCAGCCATCCCAACAAAGTGAAAGTCTATGGCCCTGGTGTGGCGAAGACAGGCTTAAAGGCTCACGAACCGACCTACTTCACAGTGGACTGCACGGAAGCTGGGCAGGGTGAGTTGAGCCCTTTCTATCCTTGACGCCTCGGAATGTCTGGCATTGCTGGAATGGAGGAAGAGGAGGATGGGCCACCCCCGTCTTCCAGCCCACCCCGCCTTCCAGTCCAGTGTAAGCCAGGCTGGGAGTTAGCTCTGAGAAGCTAGTCTTCTGAAGTGCACCAACCTTGGTCTGATTAAGCGTCGGGGAAGGTGGGAACATTTCAGGCTCATTCTTAATTGGGGAACCAAGAATAAATGCTTGTGTTGTGAATTGCTCTAAGGAGCACTTAATGCTGAAGGGCAGCACATAAAAGAAATTCTTTTGTTTGCTGCTCCCCCTCCCTTTCTCCTCCTGGCAGCCAAGGGGAACAAAAGACAAGGCTGTGCAATCTTTCTGGCCTTTTCATTGAGACTGGCTTCTCCAGTTCTGAAGCCTTTTGTATCCTAACCGCTGCTGTCCGTTGCCTTGTTTGTGTTGAGAAGGTTGCGTCTTTGGAATCCCTTTAATTCGCTTGTCCCTCCCCTGCTCCCTCCCATGGTTAGGAGACGGTGGTGGAAGTAAGAGGGGGAGAGAGAAAGTTGCGCTGCTTCAGATGTTGCCAAGGTGTAGCTCCCATCAACTCCAGCCACCATGGCCAGCCGTTGATACAATGGGATTTAATCCCATAGTAACTGGTTTCCAAAACTTCAAAATGGACAAGCAACCCACAGCTGGAAAATGCTTGTCCTTTCTCGCTGCTAATTTTTAAGTGCAGTGGACTATACAGAGATAGGGCAGTGCTAATTTGTATTCTGTGGCAAAGGGTGACTAAACTTCCTCCCCAATTTGCTTGGCAGATTGCCTTAATTGCTCTGTTCAGTTCCTACTGTACCATGTGTCCTTGAACAAGTTACAGAAAGGAAATTAGCAATCAAGTGAAGCCATTCTGGCCTTGCTTTCCCATATTCTTCGTTCTTGATTTCTTCTAATGCAATAAGCATGTAGAGGTAGATTATAAAAAGTACCCTGAATTTTATGCACACTTCATGCGTGGATCAATGCCTTGCATCTTTGCCTTTATTTTACCATCGTGGCTACTCCAGAAAAGACCAGAATTGCCCGTTGGAGAAATGATCCTCCTCAATTAAATCTCTAGAGTGAAAGATTGAAGCTGGAGGTTGATAGACTTCAGGGGCTGCACCAGGGGTGAAAGTCAGCAGGTTCTGGAGAGAACTGGTAGCGGAAATTTTGAGTTGTTTGGAGAACTGGCAAATACAACTGTTGGCTGGCCCCAGGAGTGGGCTGGGAATGCAGATTTTGCAATATCCTTCCCCCAGGAATGGGGTGGGAATGGGGATTTTGCAGTATCCTTCTCCTGCCACGTCCGCCAAGCCATGCCCACAGAACCGGTAGTAAAAAAAATTGAAATTTCACCACTGGGCTGCACTATATTGGGATATCTTGGCCCACTTGCGGGATTTGGAATTTGCGTCACCATTGCAGGCACATGTTTTAATAGTCCACTGAGATGCCTCTCACGGACTTGTCTCTTCTTAAAGGTGATGTGAGCATTGGCATCAAGTGTGCCCCTGGTGTGGTGGGTCCGGCTGAGGCTGACATCGATTTTGACATTATTCGGAATGATAATGACACCTTCACAGTCAAGTATACCCCCCGGGGTGCTGGAAGCTACACAATCATGGTGCTGTTTGCTGACCAGGTGAGGCCATTTTTCAGAGGAAGCACTGCGTTGCAAGAAATTACAGGAGAACAGATAAAATACAAAGCCGAAACCTTTCTACTGGGAATAATCAAAGGGAAATATACAAAGAAAATTAAGTACATATTAACGCATCTGCTAACTACAGCTAGAATAGCATTCGCCCAATGCTGGAAACGAAATAATACCCCCCTCGGATGAATTAGTGATAAAGAAAAACTTTGGATTGTGCAGAGATGGACAAATTAACACCGAAATTAAAAGATAAAGAAGAATCAGAATA